AGGGGACACAGCAGGCAGCAGTGCGGGGCTCAGTGAGTGCTGAGGGTGACAGTGCAGTCTAGGGGGTGCCCAGGAGGGTGCAGGGAGTACAGTGGGTGCAAGGCTGCACAGCAGGGTGCTGAGGGGCTTGGGAGGGTGCAGTGGGGCTCAGGAAGGTGCAGAGAACCCAATGGGTGCACGGGGGCTCTATGGGGTGCAGGAGGGCACAGCAGGGTGCAGAGGACCCAGTGGATGCAAGGGGACCCAGTGGGGTGCTGAGGGACTCAGGAAGGTACTGAAGGACTCGGGATACTGCAGAGGGGGCTCAGGAGGATTCAGGAGGGTGCATGGGACCCAGAGGGTGCAAGGGGGCACAGTGGGGTGCTGAGGGGCTCAGGAGGGCGCAGGGAGGCTCAGGGAGGTGCAAGGGGGTGCGGGCGGGTGCAGAAGGCCCAGGGGGGTGCCGGGGGGCCCAGGCAGGTGCTGGGGACGCTGTGGGACCCTGGGGGCTCCCTGCGTGCCCCGCCACTCACCGGGGCCGCTCCGGGTCTCCGCTCGCAGGCGCTGCCATCGGAGAAGAGCCCGGCACCATGGAGAACGTGACGGCCGCCCGCAACTCGTGCACCTTCCACGAGGAGTTCAAGCAGGTGCTGCTGCCCCTGGTCTACTCGGCCGTGTTCATGCTGGGGCTGCCGCTCAACGCCGTGGTCATCGGGCAGATCTGGCTGTCCCGCGAGGGGCTCACGCGCACCATGATCTACATGCTCAACCTGGCCACGGCCGACCTGCTCTACGTGTGCTCCCTGCCGCTCCTCATCTACAACTACACGCAGAAGGACTACTGGCCCTTCGGGGACTTCGCCTGCAAGCTCGTCCGCTTCCAGTTCTACACCAACCTGCACGGCAGCATCCTCTTCCTCACATGCATCAGCGTCCAGCGGTACCTGGGTATCTGCCACCCCTTGGCCTCCTGGCACAAGAAGAAGGGCAAGCGGTTCACGTGGCTGGTGTGCGCCGTGGTGTGGCTCCTGGTCATCGCGCAGTGCTTGCCCACCTTCGTCTTCGCCGCCACGGGCACGCAGAGGAACCGCACGGTGTGCTACGACCTGAGCCCGCCGGACCGCTCCGCCAGCTACTTCCCCTACGGCATCACGTTGACCATCACGGGCTTCCTGCTGCCCTTCGCGGCCATCCTGGCCTGCTACTGCAGCATGGCCAGGATCCTGTGCCAGAAGGACGAGCTCATCGGGCTGGCCGTGCGCAAGAAGAAGGACAAGGCCATCCGCATGATCGTCATCGTGGTCCTCGTCTTCTCCGTCAGCTTCGTGCCCTTCCACATCACCAAGAGCATCTACCTGATCGTCCGCTCCTCGCCCGGCCTGCCCTGCCCGGCCCTGCAGGCCTTCGCCATCGCCTACAAGTGCACGCGGCCCTTCGCCAGCATGAACAGCGTCCTCGACCCCATCCTCTTCTACTTCACGCAGCGCAAGTTCCGCGAGAGCACCCGCTACCTGCTGGACAAGGTGAGCTCCAAGTGGAGGAACGACCACTGCGTCAACTACGGCTCGTAGCCACCCCCGGAACCGCGACCATGGCAGCGCCGGGGCGGTTTTGGCTTGGACTTGCCGCCAACGGAGGTGGCACCAACCGGAGGCCGGGCCGCTGGGCCTCTGGTGGAGGCCAGGACGAGGAGAACATCTCCAGAACTTCCAGCGATGCTCCTTGCCTCGGTTTCCCCCTATGTGGGTGCTGCAAAGAGTGTGCAAAGCAAATGGGGGACGCGGGGAGGGTCCATCCATGCATCCGTCTGCAGCGGGATAGAGGATGGACCCGGCGCGGGGCCTTCCTCGTCAACCACCTTTGGCCTCAGGATCATTTGCAGCTTTTGCCACCAGAGATGCAGGGAGTCCCGGCTGGACAGAGCCCCCAGGACAGACAGACAGTCTCAGGAATGAATATTCTCATGCCGGAAACATCTCCAGTCATGTTAGAGCACATGAAAGTCTCCTGGGACCGGGAGCCTTGGACCATATGTATTCCACGCGTATAATAAACCTCCCTCCCTTCCAAACACCTAATGGGCACAAATCCATATACACACCTCAATAGACCTATATAAACGACGCGTGCGTTACATATACATAGACATGCACGTGCTATATATATTTATGTATATGCACATGGTTTGCAGCACAGAATTTGCCTCGCCCGATATTCCCTATCCTATATATACATCTCCTATATATAGGATATTCTACCCTCCTTGCATGAGGCCTATGTATAACGCGTATGTAGGTGGGGGTATGGTATATATAGGTGTCCACGCGCACACGCAGGGTGTTTCTATGGCTCTTGTTCTCATGGGGGGGTTGCAGGGATGGGTTTATAGGAAAGCTCTATAGGGGAACGATGCTCTTAAAGAGCCCTGGGGGATGGTGAGCTGGGATCTCCCCACTTTCTTCCCCCAAAAGTCCCATGGGGGTCTGGACATGAACCCCCCAGTACTGCCTTGGTCTTGCTGTGAGCCCGACCGCTTTTCCATGGATAAAATATTCCCAGTGTGCCAGGCTGGCTGGCATGGCTCCTTGTCTAGGAGATCCCATGGGAGTGGGATCGGGAGTCTGGAGAGCCGCGGGAAGGGGGTCGGGGACACATATAACCCCCCGCAGCTTTCCCAGCCCTTCCCAAACAAAGGAAAAGCCAGAGCGGGATGCCGGATGCCCGGAGCAACCCTGGACGCTCTTGCCCGGACCCAGGAGAGGGCGCAAAATATTCAGATTTGGAGAAATCCGCTTTGGCTCCGTAGCACATCCCGGCAGGGGTGGAGGGAGCAGGGCCATCCGTACCCTCCGCCCCTTGGCCTGTGGTGGAGAACTCGGCCAAAATGTGTCCAAAAAGGGCTCTGCGGAGAAGGGACGTGGGGGTCTCAGCGGGACGGGGACATCCCACCGCAAGCTTTTCCTCTCGACTCCCCAGATGGGATTTGGGGACACGTGTGCGGATGTAAGCCGGCCGGGATAGCGGGATGCTGGCCCCCCGCGGAGGCAGGAGAAGCACCGGAGCTCCCGTCCCACCGGCACAGGGAGGAGCGTTGGAAAGGAGGCTCTGCAGGGACCCCAGTCCTGGCTCCCGCGCGGGTCCCTTCTTCCCCAGCCCAGCGCTATCCCGTGCCGTGCAAGGCTAGAAATATTCCTGCGTGGGCAAAAAAACTCCTGTGTGGACAGAAATACCCTTGTGTGGGTGGAAATGCCCCCACATGGGTGGAAATAACCCCGTGTAGGGGGAAATACCCCTACATGGGGGGAAATAGCCCTTGCATGGGCAGAAATGTCCCTGCAGGGGGTTTAATACCTCCTGCGTGGGTGGAAATACCCCCTGCACGGGGGAAAGGCTCCTGAATGGGCAGAAATGTCGCTGCATTGGCAGAAATGTCCCTACATGGGTGACAATACCCTGGAGCGGGCAGAAAAGTCCCTGTGTGGAGCGATGCCCCAAGAAACCCCCTGAGCACCGCAGGATTCGCCACATCCACCCGTTTCGCATCCCCACAGGAGAGAGAAGGGCAGGGAGGGCAGGGGGACCGGAGGGAACAGGCGGGACGGGGACGGGGCCATTCCCGGCGAGCGGGGCCATTCCCGGCTTCCCGCTTGCGGGAGGCTCCGGAGGCTGCGACCATTTTCGGGAGGCGGAAAAAAAGAAAAAAAAAAAAGGAAAGAGAAAAAAACCCAAACCCCGCCTCTCGGGGAAAGTTTATTTGAATGCAACAAATAAAAAAGAAGGGGGAGAAGGAACGGGAAGAGGGGGACGGGGCCATTCCCGGCGAGCGGGGCCATTCCCGGCTTCCCGCTTGCGGGAGGCTCCGGAGGCTGCGACCATTTTCGGGAGGCGGAAAAAAAGAAAAAAAAAAAAGGAAAGAGAAAAAAACCCAAACCCCGCCTCTCGGGGAAAGTTTATTTGAATGCAACAAATAAAAAAGAAGGGGGAGAAGGAACGGGAAGAGAAAAAAAAAGAGGGAGGGAGGGAAAAAAAAAAAAAAGGGAAAGGGGGGGGGGGGAAAACAAAGG